CCCACTGACCTGGAGCTAGGCCTTGTGATTTCCTCCTCACTCCCATTTTTATGTTGCAACCAGGGTGATCCTTTTGGACTAGAGATCAGATCATGTCACACACACACACACACACACACACACACACACACACACACACACCAAAAACTTTTTGATGATTTTCCATTACTCTTAAAATACTTAAATCTTTAACATAGTAAGTTAGTTGGAGTTCTTAGTTCAAATTATAGCCAACTTAAGCAGTAAGAGGAATTGATTAAAGCTGATCTGTCCAATAGAACTTTCTGTGATGATAGAAATGTTCTGTATCTGAGCTGTCCAATAAAGTAGCCACTAGATTTATGTGGCAACTGAGCATTTGAAATGCAACTTATACAACTGATGAACTGAATTTTAAATTTTATGTCATTTAAATTAATTTAAATTTAAATAGCCAAATGTGGCTAATAGCTGCCCTACTGTACAGCACAGGATTAAAGGATATTAAGTAGCTCGAAGAATCTTGAGATGGCCTGAGAGTTAGGCTTCGGGTCTATAGAGCCAGGAGCAGTGTCTAAAACTCACTGAGGAACTGCTCAGAGAACAACCCACTACCACTGATGCCACGCTAAGGTCCAGCTGCCTGCTGCTTACAAAAGTTAAAAATTGAGAGACATGGTTGGTGGAAAGAAAAGCAGGTTTATGCAGAATGCCAGCATTCTGGGAGGATGGCAGACTCCTGTCCAAAGGCCATCTCCCCATTCCTAGACCTATCAGAAGGTTTTATAGGTACACAAGAAGAGCAAAGGAAAGAGGGAGTTGGTCAGGCAGGTCCAAGAGCTTACATCCTTCCTGGGGTCTGGTCTGTTTTAAGATAATGTTATCTCTGGACTCCAGACTCGGACTGGGGCTTTATGTATATTCCTTTGTCTGGGTGCCTGAGGATTAAGAAATTGCTCTTTTCAGGTTAGGATTTTGTTAATAAATGAATTAACAAGGTATGTGTAACTTTGAGAAAGAGAATAAAACAAGGCTCTTCAGTTAATCAGTGAGGGGAGAAACAAAGAGAAATTTGCTGAATATCAGGGTAGATCAAACTGCAAACTAAGTCTAACTACAAGTGGCTAGATAGAGAACTATGTGGGGAGTCAAACTGCAAACTAGTTAAGTCTAATTACGTTATTGACTTACCAAATTTCACCCTAACACCACTAAACATAGACACTGCAGCTGGCATTACTGACTGGGCACTGGACACAAATCAGATGTTTGCAATGCTATATTGTCAGACATGAATGCCTACTTCTTCTGTGTGTGCCTCTGAACCAAAGATTCTGCCTGATGGATGGAACCCAGGTAAAACACTGATATCCAAGCTGTAAGGGAGGCTGGGGAGGCCAGTTTCTGGCTTCTACCTCTTGAAGGCAGTACTTATTATATGGGAAATTCCCCACACGCAAAAGAATAGTATTGAGAAGATGCTGACTGTCAAAAGAGTATGACAAATGTCTACTCTATGTGGTCTTGTGGTCTATACCAGCGCTTCTCAAACTAATATGCAAACAAACCATTTGAGGATCTTGTTAAAATGCAGATTCTCATTGAGTAGATCCAGAGGGAAAGAGAATCAAGATTCTGCAGTTCCAACAAGTTGCCAGGTGTGGCCAACATTGCTAATCCACAGCAAGGCTTCATACAATCCCACAAAGACTCACTCTCTCTAAATCGCTCTGATATCTCCGTGTCTGTGCTTCAGACACATTCTGAAAAACATTTTTTAAATGACTTTATGGAAGTATAATTCATATACCATACAGTTCACCCTTTTGCCATGTGCTGGTTCTTAAGAGTTTCTGGCTTCTCTTGATTTGGCTCTTTTTCTGAGTTGGTTTCAGTAGTTTATATTTAAGAACTCTGATAAATCTTCTGATCTACTTGCAGTTTAATGTTAGGACAGGAGTAAATGAGACGCAAATGGAAGATCGCTAATCATTCTCACGCTGTTAGGGGCAAAGGCAGGTGTGAAAACATTGCTTGTGGGGTGTACTTTTAAATACATATATAACAGGTTTATTGAGATATGTCACATATTATAATATTCACTCTTTTAAAGTATACAACACAGTACTTAAACATTCTTAGCATATTCAGAGTTTAGCGGTCTGTTTTGTTCTGTTGTAAATAAATTCTGTTTTAAATTTAGAGTCTGTTTTGTTTTAAGTAAAGCTCCTTTCAAGAGTTTCTTCAGACCCACGGAACTTTAGCATATCTACATGAAATCAACGCTTTTGGAGAGTCTTCTCGCAGCCTTTCAACTCTCTATTCAACTCACTCCCTCTTCTCAACCCCCGCCCCAGCACTGGGGGGTCTCACTGTGATTGGCTGGTGCAGAGTGACATCCTCAGATCGCGACTCAGGAGCAGCGGCTGCGCGGTTATGTGGCCGGGCGGTCGCCGGCGGTTTCCGATTCTCGTGCCCGGGTACTTCAACCTCTGGTGCCTCCGCTTTGCCAGGACTTGGAGTGGCCGTAGGACCCCTATGGCGGAAACGCTCTCGACTGGGGCCGAGGAAGCGAGCGGGTTGAGGACTCCGGCTCAGCAAAACGGAGACGCGGGTGGCGATGTGAGGGATGAGTGGCCCCCGGGGCTCCCAGAGCCAGCGGGCCCAGAGGTGGAGCTGGCCCCTGGGGACGGAAAGCAGGCCACAGGGAACGAGGAGCAGGCCCCGGCTGCAGCGGTGGGCCCAGGCAAGCGGAAGAAGCGGCGGGGCACACCCGGAGAACGCGTGGTGCCGCCCCCGAAAAAGCGGCGGGCAGGGGTGAGCTTCGGCGATGAACACTTTGCAGAGACCAGCTACTACTTCGAAGGAGGGCTGCGCAAAGTGCGGCCCTATTACTTTGACTTCCGAACCTATTGCAAAGGCCGCTGGGTGGGCCATAGCTTGCTGCACGTCTTCAGCACCGAGTTCCGAGCCCAGCCCCTGACCTACTACGAGGCTGCGGTTCGGGCTGGGCGCCTACACCTCAACGAGGAGCCGGTACAGGACCTCAGCATTGTGCTCAAGGTGGAGTCCTGATGCAGCCGGCCGGGAGTGGCGAGGAAAGGGGGAAGGGTCTTTTTTAGAGCCAGTGGGGCATAGGTACTGGAGTAAAATCGGGGTAATTCTGAAGCTTTCTCGCTTTCACATGAAACACTCTTTTAGCTCCTTCCCCCCGCTCCATTTCTGCAAGTAGCTCCAGTGCTTCAAAACTCAGCCCATTTATCCCCTCCATCAAGGCGACTTGGTTGTTTCCAAGGGACAGCAGTGGGAATTCTTATGGCCCCTCTTATGCACTGACTAGGAGGCACTGATCACTTCCTACCTTGCATTGTGATTCTCTGTACAAATAGTATAATAGAGGCTATCATTTATGTCTCCTTAGTATGTCCTGGTCACAAAGTTAAGTATTTTAAGTACTTTAACATTTAGTTCTAATGACAGCCTTGTGGGATAGGTATTGCCACCTCGTTTTACCTGTGAGGAAACTGAATTAAGATAGACCTCACAGAATGAAGGCAAAAGTGTCACCTCCAAAGCCTGTGTTCTTATAACTACTACTTAAATTATTTATCATAGGGCCTGATACAATAGAATTATAAACTGTCAGGCATAAAGACTAGAGTTGTCTAGCCCAGTGCTTTGACCCTTCTTTAAAATTTCTTCACAGCTAAAAGGTACCAGACACCCCTGTGAGTAGCACTGGCTCACCAGGTTGTGATGGGAGACAAAGTGATTTCAGCATTTGGAGAATGGGTGGTTTGAATCCCCTCTCCCATCTCAATTTTGAAAAGCACAGGTCTGGTCTAACCCTCACATTTTACAGGTAAGGAAACAGAGGCCCAGAGAAGTTAAGTGATTTGCAGTCAGCCTGTAGGAGGAAATCCAGATCTACAGCTCAGATCGCTGGACTTACAACTTGGTATTGTTCAAGGTCATGAAAAGTAATGATTTATTGAGGGGTTTTTTTGTCCCCACCATTTTTGAAAAATTGATCTTTTAAGTATAATATTATTGTAGAGAAAATACAAATAAACAAAATCAAAAAACATGTAATCCCATCACCCAGCGATATCACCATTAACATTTTTGTGTATATCCTAATTCTTTTTCAGTGCCTGCTATCTACCTGGGTATCTATTTTTACAAAATGAGCATACACTGTGCATACTGCTTTTTCTGTGTAAGAATACATTGTGACCATTCTTCCATGTTAATAAATAATGGGAAGCTGTGTGTGAAGTTGACCGATTACAGATTGCTGGCCCCTGGGTTGACCGATTGCCTATGTCATTGGCAGGACAATGACTTCTTGCGGAACACAGTGCACAGGCATGAGCCACCAGTCACAGCAGAGCCTGTCCGCCTGCTGGCTGAGAATGAAGATATGGTGGTTGTAGACAAACCTTCTTCCATTCCTGTCCACCCCTGTGGCCGCTTCCGACACAATACAGTCATCTTCATCCTGGGCAAGGAGCACCAGCTCAAGGAGCTTCACCCATTGCATAGGCTTGACCGCCTTACCTCGGGGGTCCTTATGTTTGCTAAGACAGCAGCCGTCTCAGAGAGAATCCATGAGCAGGTTCGGGACCGGCAGGTGAGCCTAGCTTTTGTCTCATGCAGATTACCTCCTGGGCGCACAAAGCTGTGTGTCAAAATGGCATCACTGAGTTCTGTCTGAAGTGGGCCTTCATGTTTTCCTACCTTCAGGGAGGGCAACACCTTAAGTGCCAAAGACAGGTAATTATCTCTTACATTTCAAGAGATGTTTAGAGATGGCATACACTGCCTGCCTCTCTTGGTAGTTTGCTCTTTTGAAGTTTTAAAGTGCTGACAGGCAGAATGAGGTTTTTTACAATTGAGGGGAGAGTACTTGATGGAATGATTGTGGATGAAATTGGAAGAGGCTTGAGTAGAAGAGTTAAATGGTAGTGATTGTGGTCTTGAGACTTGTAATTCTGGACCTGATTGTGATACACTTACTGAGTGCTTACTGTATATCAGACTTAAGTACCAAGTACATTAGAGCCTCACTTACTGAATTCGTATAACAGCCCTATGAGGTAAGTGCTTTCCTAATCTCACGTTTTCTAGACAAGTTAATAGAATTTAAAGAGGCTAATGTAGCCAGAATCATGAAACTAGAAAATGGTAGAGCTGGGGTTTGAATCCTCTTCTGTCTGGCACTGGTGCATTCCTCATCACTTGCAGAGGACCTGGGCTTCATGAGTTTAGGCTGTGTGCTGATTTCTCCCTCTTCCCTCTTGTGTAGCTGGAGAAGGAGTACGTGTGCCGGGTAGAGGGGGAGTTCCCTGCCGAGGACGTGACCTGCAAGGAACCCATCTTGGTAGTGTCTTACAAGGTAGGGGTGTGTCGTGTAGACGCTCGGGGCAAGCCCTGTGAGACAGTGTTCCAAAGACTGAGCTACAACGGCCACTCCAGTGTGGTGCGGTGCCGGCCACTCACAGGCCGCACGCACCAGATCCGAGTCCACCTCCAGTTCCTGGGCCACCCCATCCTCAATGACCCCATCTACAATTCAATGGCCTGGGGACCCTCGCGGGGACGGGGCGGCCACATTCCCAAGACAGATGAGGAACTGCTGCGGGACCTTGTGGCAGAGCACCAAGCCAAACAGAGCCTAGATGTGTTAGATCTCTGTGAAGGCAACCTGTCCTCAGGACTCATGAACTCTACAGCTCCCTCCTCAGAGCTAGGCAAGGACTGCCTAGAAGACTTGGCTGCATCTGCCCCAAAGACGGATGGAGTAGCTGAAGCAGCCCCCCAGGATCTGAACACAATGACACTGGCACCAAAGAATGCAGCTGAAACAGATGTTGAGAATCAAGAGATAGACCCTCTCTGTCCAGAGTGCCGGCTGGTGCGACAGGACCCCTTGCCTCAGGACCTGGTGATGTTTCTGCATGCCCTGCGCTATAAAGGGCCAGACTTTGAGTACTTTTCACCCATGCCTACCTGGGCACAGGATGACTGGCAAGAGGACTAAAAGCTGTCTTGTGGAGGGATTTCTTCTTGGGTTGGAAGAGGCCATTGGGGTAGGACTGACCTCATAGGCTGGTGGTACTCAGGGTTTCTATAAGGAGTGAGGTTGGGATCTTAAAGGACCTGTTCATACTGCTACCTCCTTCCTTCTCCCTCCAGCTGGAGTTTGGGGACTTTTTGGTTTGTAAATATATCCCTTTTATACCTTGTGCATCTGGTTTTCCTACTGCTGCTTTTATTTTTTACTATTGAGGTAAATTCACAACATGACAATTAACCATATTAAGGTATACAACTTAGTGGCATTTAGCACATTCAGTGTTGTGCAACCATTACCTCTTCTCTGGTTCCAAAACATTTTCACCCACAAAGGAAACCCATAGCCATTAAACAGTCACTCCCCATTTCCGCTTCCTCCCAGCCCATGGTAACCATTAATCTACTTTCTGTCTTGATGGATTTGCCTATTCTACACATTTCATATGGAATCATATAATGGAATCATACAATAAATTACATTTTGTGTCTGTCTTTTGCTTAGCATGTTTTCAAGGTTCATCCAATTTACAGCGTGCATCAATACTCATTGCCTTTTTATGGCTGAAAAATATCCCATAGTATGGATATACTACATTTATGTATCCCTTCATCAATTGATGGACATTTGGGTTTCTACCTTTTAGCTGTTGTGAACAGTGCTGCTATGTACATTTGTGTACAAGTTTTTGTTTGAATATGTGTTTACAGTTCTTGAGTATGTACCAAGGAGTGGAATTGCTGAGTCATATGGTAATTCTGTGTTTAACTTTTTGAGGAGTCATCAGATTTTTCCACCGTGACCAAGCCATTTTATATTCCCACTATCAACACACCAAGTTTCCAATTTCTCTACATCCTCACCAGTACATACCATGTATCCCTGAAAATAAGACCAAGTCTTATATTAATTTTTGCTCCAACAATCTACATTTATTCATGTACAAAAATCTCCATTTATTCAAACAGTCATGTCTGGCTGACGATCTTAACTGGGGCTTATGTTTGGGAAGGGCTTATATTACGAGCATCCTGAAAAATCTTGCTAGGGCTTATTTTCTGGCTGGGTCTTATTTTTGGGGAAACAGTACTTTTTGTTTTGATTATAGTTAGCCTAGTGGAAGTGAAGTGTTACCTTGTGGTTTTGATTTGCATTTCCCTATTGATTAATATATCTTTGGAGAAATGTCTATTAAAGTCTTTTGCCCATTTTTAAATTGGGTTGTTTGCATTTTTATTGTTGAGTTATAAGAGTTCTTTATATATTTTAGATACAAGACCATTATCAGATACATGATTTGGAAATATTTTCTTCCATTTTGTAGCTTGTCTGTACATTTTCTTGATAATGTCCTGTCATTCACAAAAGTTTTAATTTATTTTTATGTGTACAATATTGTTAACTATACACAACAAATGTACAGATCTCTAGAACTTAATCATCTTGCATAACTGAAACTTTATACCTGTTTAATAGCAATTCCCCATTTCTCCCAGCTCCCAACCCTATATCACTATTCTAACTCTCTGCTATGTATTTGACGGTGTTAGATACCTGAAAAGAAAACCTTTTTTCCTTGACTCAGTACTTACAGAATATAGTTAAAATGTTTGGAGGTTTCCCCACACCAGGCAATTCTCTCAGACCAGCTAAGTGTCCTACAGTTTAACTCAACTCTGACACTATCTACCTAGAGATAGCATCAGATTTCACAAATTAAGGGCTCAGGCCCACAAGACTGCCCCCGCCTCACATGCCAATCTCAAAAGCCCAGGTTGTCACCTGTGCTTCTGACCATCCATAAATCAGAGGTTCCTACAACCCTGTCCTCAGGTTCAGTCATTTACTAGAATGGCTCACAGAACCAAGGAAAATTACTTACTAGATTACTGGTTTATTACAAAGGATATTAAAGGATGCGAATGAACAGCCAGATAAAGAGATACATAGGGTAAGGTCTGGAAGGAGCACAGGTGCTTGACCTCATAGAACTCAGGACGTATGGATGCCTTCTTCACCAACCTGGAAGCTCTCTGAACCTAATCATCTGCATGTCTTCTTTGGAGAAACATCTGTTCACATCCTTTGCCCATTTTCCAGTTGGGTTATTTGGGGTTTTGCTATATTTTTAAATACTATTTTCCTTCTAATTTGGAATATTAACCCTTTATCAGACATAGGATTTGCAAATATTTTCTTCCATTCCATAAGTTGTCTTTTACTTTGTTAATTGTATTCTTTGCTGTGCAGAGGCTTTTTAGTTGGATATAGCCCCACTTGTCTATTTTTGCTTTTGTTACCTGTGCTTTTGACAAGTTTTAATTTTGATGCAGCCCAAGATGGTTATTTTTTCTTTTGTTGGTTGTGCTTTTGGTGTTCTATCTGAGAATTCATTGGCAAATCCAAGGTGATGAAGATTTACCCCTATATTTTCTTTTCAGAGTTTTATAATTTTAGCTCTTATATTTAGGTCTTTCATCCATCTTGAGTTGATTTGTGTATATGGTGTGAGACAGGGATCGAACTTCTTTCTGTTACATGTGGATGTCCACTTTTCCCAGCACCATTTGGTGAAGAGACTGTTCTTTCCCCATTGAATGATCTTGGCACACTTGTAGAAAATCATTTAACCATAGATGTATATAGGTTTATTTCTGGACTCTTGATTCTTTTCCATTGATCTCTATGTCTATCCACTGCCAGTACCGCACTGTTTTGATCCCATTCCTGCAAAAGATGCTGATGGAATTTTTAAGTGTAATTTAATTTTATATTGTGTTAAAAAACAACAAAATTTACCATTCTAGCCATTTTTAACTATACAGTTCAGTAATATTAAGCATGTTCATCCTTGTTGTGAAACAGATCTCGAGAATTTTTTCTTCTTGCATGACTGAAACTCTATACCCATTAAACTACAACTCCCCTTTCTGCCCCTACCTCCAGGTCCTGGTAGCCATCATACTTTCTGTTTCTATGAATTTGTCTGCTTTAGATACCTCATATAAGTGGGATCATATACTTCTCTTTTTGTAATTGGCTTATTTCACTTAGCATAATGTCTTCAAGGTTCATCCATGTTGTAACTTGGGACAGGATTCATTCCTTTTTAAGGCTGAATAATATTCCATTGTGTGTATATATCACATTTTGTTTTGTGAATAGTACAGTGAACATTGGTGTGCAAATCTCTCTTCAAGTTCCCCCTTTCAATTCTTTTAGTAATATCTCCACAAATGGGATTGCTGGATCATATGGTAATTCTAGTTGTAAATTTTTGAGGAACCTCCATACTGTTTTCCATAGCAGCTGCACCATTTTATAATCCTATCAACATTACACAAGTGTTCTAATTTCTCCACATCCTTGTCAACACTAGTTATTTTCTGGTTTTTTGATAGTAGCCATCCTAATGGGTGTGCAGTGATACTTCACTGTAGTTTTGATTTGCATTTCCTTGGTGATTAGTGACACTGAGCACCTTTTCATCTGGCCATTTATGTATCACTTTATGTGAATAGAAATGTCTATGCACGTCTTATGCATTTTTAAGTTGGGTTATTTGATTTTTTTGTTGTTGAATTATAGGAGTTCTTAACATATTCTGGATGTTAACCCCTTTTCAGATGTATGATTTATATTTTCTCCCATTCCGTAGGTTGTCTTTTTGTTCTGTTGATTATATCCTTTGATACACAAAAGATTTTAAATTGAATGTAGTCCCATTGGTCTATTTTTGTTTTTGTTGCCTGTGAAGTTGATAGGCTTTTAGTAGAGATTGCATCGAATCTGTAGATTGCTTTTAGTTAGTTACCATCTTTTTTGTGTGTGTGTGGTATTATCATCTTAACAGTATTAAGTCTTCCAATTCATGAAAATGGGATGTCTTTCCATTTTTTTTTTAGGTCTTTTTAAATTTCTTCTAGCATTGTTTTGTCATTTCCAGTGTACAAGTCTTACACTTGCTTGGTTAAATTTAATCCTAAGTGTTTTATTCCTTTTGATGCTATTTTACATGGAATTATTTTCTTAATTTCATGTTTGGATTGTTCATTGCTAATATATAGAAATACAACTGATTTTTGTGTTGATTTTGTATCCTGTAACTTTGCTGAATTTATGAGCTTAATAGTCTTTTTTGTATGGATTCTTAAAGTGTGTGTGTGTTTTTTTCACATCATCTGCGAATAGAGATAATTTTACTTCTTCCCCTCTAAACCCTCTGTGTACTTTTCCTCTCGTTTGAAGCTTGCCCATGTTTTGAAAACTGTCACATTTTTATCAGTCATTAATCACATCAGAACAGTAAGAATTGCCTAGTAAAGTTGAACATGCACATAACCAGTGATTCCATTTCTAGCTATATACCTAGAGAAACACATGTACATGTAACCCAACAGACATGTATAAGAACATTCACAGCAGCATTCCTGTAATAGCAAAAAACTGGAGATGACCATAAAAGAATGGATATCCATAAGAGAATGGATACCTAATTTTATTTTCAGATAGTTGTATACTAAGTAGCAGTGAAAATGAATGAATTACATGGATAAAACAGTGTTGCATGAAAGAAATCATGGATGAATAACTGATTACATTTATATAAAATTCAAAAACAGACAAGACAATTTTTTTAGGGATAAATACATGCATATTTGATAAGAAAAGCAAGAGGATGATTAACACAAAATTCAATAGAGTAGCTATCTCTGGGAGAAGGATGCCAGAGAGGGGCACCCAGGAAGCTTCAAAGTTGCTAGAAATGTTAACTTCTTAAGCTGGGTCATGTATACATGGCATTGGTTTTATTATTCTTTTAAACTGTACATATACAGTATATTACTTATGTATGTATTGTATCATTTTATGTATAATATCTTTCAGAATAAAAAATTTAAAAAATGTTTTAAAAACTTTTTAACCTTTGGTTATCTCTGAAATAGTGACTCTCCTTATTTATTTATTTACTTATTTACTTATTTATTTATTGGGGAATAGTATGTTTTTCCAGGACCCATCAGCTCCAAGTTGAGTAGTTGTTTCATTCTAGTTTTGGGAGTAGTTATTTTATTCTAGTTGTGGAGGGCGCAACTCAGTGGCACATGTGGGGATCAAACAGGCAACTTTGGTGTTATGAGCACTGCGCTTTAACCAACTGAGCCAACCTGCCACCCCTGACTTTCTTCTTTTAGTCACCCATTGCACACAACTCCTAAGGTCTGTTTGACCTCCATGCAGCTGGGTTGGGTACCACTCCCAAGTGCCTCAATCATGGGTCACTTTAATCAGGGATGGAAAAAGAACACCATATGTATGGTATTTTGAAGACTAATGATAAGCAATATATAAAAATTTGCAAAAGTGACCCATCACTTTTACTATGTCTTAGATTCAAATACTGCCTTTTTATTATAAAAGAACTGAGGGATTTAAAAGCAGCTTATGGCTTTGGTAGTGTAGATCTGACATGTTCTCAGACACAAAGAGCCCTGTGCCTTGAATTTTCTAACACATTACCATGGCATCTACGCACAAGACTCTTGAAAATAATAAGTGATGCAAAAATAATAAATGATGTCATTTTTCAGGTTCTTTTTTCTTGTAAACTTTCCAATATTCTAAATGTTGAAGGTAGGTTAAGGATTTTTAAAGAACAGCTTTATATCTCACTCTAAATGCTAAACCATCCAGAATCAGAACTGAGGCAAATATATATGGACTAAGAATTTTATAAGACAAGAAATACCAAAGATTGCCAGCAAACCATCAGGGCTAGGAAAGAAGTGTGGAACCGATTCACCCTCACAGCCCTCAAAGGACCCAACCCTAGTGACACCTTGATCTCAA